GGGGGGGAGGGGTGGGGTGTTGGGTTGTCAATATATGCCTTGCTCAACCAAGTTTTACTAGTGTTGAACCGGCGGTGAAGCCATCTTTGCTCTGAATTTATGACAGGCATAAGACAATCAATGATCAAGTGTGAGCTTAGAGGGGCTCAAATGAGATAAAATAGGTTGGCATAGCATTGTGACCGTGACTATATTTGGAAAGAATGCTGCATAGTTGGAATGAATTTTCTCTGTCAATCAAGCATTTATTTGCCAAATTATGTCATCTCTTATCATCTAATTTTAAAATTTCGGTGGATTGGTGTAACGCAAGAAAATTGTCATACATTCAAAACACAATGGAGGCAAGGATTTACAGATTTATATAGAGAAAGTAAATACATATATTACAAATAGATCAAAAAGAAAAACAAAACAAGGCACAGGACGAAACTACGACTCACTAATTGATTATAAATACTACCAAACTAAAAAAACTACATAAATTGAGGTTTTCTTTTGAACAAAAAGTGGCACAGGACCAGAGCATTTTACATGCTTATTTGAACAAAAGGCGACGCCTAGCAGATTTTGACAATTTCTGGTTTGACACTTCAGACCTTTCAATAGAAGAATCAATATTATTCTTTGAATCCTCAGCTGAATTATCTCCAGGCTTCACTTGGCACAATACTTTCGACGATCGATAAAATTCAGTTATACTGAGCTGCACACTTCTTGATGTTGGCGATTCTGAATTATCAGAGGTTACTTCAGATCTCACGCTTGATCTCTTTCGTCTTGATTTTGTTTCTTTAAGTTCCTGGCAGTTTTCAGACAAACACATGGTGATACTGCAGCACACACGGAGAAAAGAGTTAACACTGAGGGAAAAAAATAAGATTTTGTACCTTCGCACGTAAAAATTGGTTGACTTTTTCTGGAAAAGCAGCCTGAACAAGCTCCATATTTTCATCAGTCAACAAGAACCAGCATCCATCATCAATGTGTATCTGCGGCACATCTGGCTCATCCAATACATCAGTGGATTCATCAAGTTCCTCACACTCCTGTTCTACATTAGACACTTCAGAAGGGATTGTATACTTAGCATTGTCCATTGCCCGTGCAGATTTCCTCCAATTAACAACGTAAAATTGATGCCCAAATCGTATCTTCACATTCTGAATAGAATGAAATTCATATTGTCCATTCAATAAATCTTTTGATGAATTTGAGGCCATTTCTCTTAAGTAAATGGTGGACAACACAGGAAGCATCCTTTGTCGTATGTATGACGGCTCCCAGTTCAGATGATAAGATAAATAGTCAATTAACATCTCAGTTTTTGGGCATTCCCACCCTATATTAGGGACGTCATCTGCTGCTGCAAAATTGAATAGACTTGATGATAGTCCAATATCCAATAATACATGTACCAATACACGTGACCAAGAAAAAAAAAAGGAGAAAAATAAAAAACTATGAAATAAAATCCTAACTTCAAAACCAAAAACAATTAACAGCCCAAGTAGGGTAAGGCCTTTGATGGAAAGAAAAGGACAGAATCCCTGACACTTCAATAGTTTTCATGGTACCCAGAGAAAACGATTACTTTTGTCGATTCATAGGCAACCAATCCATGGATCTTGCCACTTGGAAATACCCTTCATACTCTCCCTTCCTCACCATTAAAACCCACTGTACTACATGAAGAAACTTCGTGCTAATACTTAAATCAGAAACGATTTGAAGTCCACTCTTACCAGAAAAATCCCCTTGCTTTTTGCTCATATATATTTCAATGATCTTATCATTTGGGAAATTCTGCTCCATCGCGATTTTATTACAAACTTTCATCTGCCAATTCTCATTCTTCCTCCGTTCCTTTTCTTTCCTGTCCTGCCATCCAACACAATATGCTTGCAACTAAGTATTAAAGTAGTGCATACTGCAAAAACATAAAGAGCAAACTGAAGTGCAATAATTAGATGAGCTGACCTCAACCAGAAGTTAGAAGCACAAGATATCATCGAGTCATGAATTATACTAACAGATGCTAACCAATGAGATTTCAATCCCTAGGGTAATGACTTACCAAATCACACAAGGAGCAGCCACACTTGAACCCCGCTGGTTTTTGCATGCAGCCCTCAGTAGTAGTGGAACAGCAATATTCACAAGCCAAACTGAGATGAGCTCTCTTGCTGCCTGGATGCCCACAGAGGGAACAATGAGAGAGTTTTCTCTTTGGTGAGGTTTCATCTGAACTGGGAATATAATCACCAACAGATATGATATCATCCTGGAACTGCAACACATCTCCTTTTCCTATCTCCTGCAATCTGCATGGAAAATCAATGCAAGCAAATGGTAAAACATCGAGTTAAAAACACTGAATAGTTTTTTTTCTGCTACAGAAACAAAAACAACTGCAACACTAAACCAGTTCAAGAAGCAAACCTATTCAAAATATCATCTTCACTGAAGGATTTAACAAAACGTAGAGCTGTATCAAGCCCAATACCTTGCACACCATTTAAATCATGGTCATTTCCAACCAAAAGAGAAATGGCTATCAAGTGTTTTCTCTTCAGCCCAAGACCAGCTTCAATGTCTGACATATAATAACATTCTAATGGTTCCTGCACACAATAATGGGTTCATGTTCACCAAGGAAAAGGATCAATATGGTGTGTCCATGACCAACACAAGAGAAAAGGAAAGAATGAGAAAAAAAAATGCCACGGCAAAACAAATAGTAAATGAAATGAAATTCATTTTGTGGGACATGCTAAATTGGAAATAGTAAAATGGTCGTTTCACTCCAATGAGTTTGCCATGTCAACAGTTAGTTATGACTGACTATGCAAGCTTCCTGACAGAAGGTTCAACATTTGTGTATTCATGATCGTCTCATGGGTTTCTTCCAGCACAGGGACCATTTCATGGCCATGATTCTGAGTTTGAGCACTTTTTCATAACAAGAAATTTGTCAAACTATTTCTTGTCTGTAGGAATTGAGAGCTCTTAGAGGTTACTTGGTCCACACATTACGCTTCTCCCATATCTTATTCACTTAATGTTTTAGCAAAACTTTCATGTTCACTAAATGTCAACAGTTAGTTATGACTGACTATGCAAGCTTCCTGACATAAGGTTCAACATTTGTGTATTCATGATTGTCTCATGGGTTCTTCCAGCACAGGGACCATTTCATGGCCATGATTCTGAGTTTGAGCACTTTTTCCTAACAAAAAATTTGTCAAACTATTTCTTGTCTGTAGGAATTGAGAGCTCTTAGAGGTTACTTGGTCCACACATTAAGCTTCTCCCATATCCTATTCACTTAATGTTTTCCCAAAACTTTCATGTTCACCATTTTCTTTTCTTGTTTTTCTTCAGCTTACTTGGCCATGCGCTTTTACTCAAACTCAGTCACACAAGCCAAGTTGATTCACAATATTTCCAGGAACCTAAGTCCCCANTTTTCTTTTCTTGTTTTTCTTCAGCTTACTTGGCCATGCGCTTTTACTCAAACTCAAGTCACACAAGCCAAGTTGATTCACAATATTTCCAGGAACCTAAGTCCCAAAAACTTAATTTGCAACAAGCCCCAAAGGGAGAAATGTATAATTAGATAGCAACCATTCCGCCACATAGTCCTCAATGGTATTGGCAACTCTGTGAAAAATTCAATCTCTAAAGTAAGCCTCCTCCACAGACAATCCACCTTTTGCTTTTGCTCTTTCCCACTGTCATACATACCACAACAGATTATGACTTTGGCTTTCCATCCCTCCAATTTCACCATNCTCTGTGAAAAATTCAATCTCTAAAGTAAGCCTCCTCCACAGACAATCCACCTTTTACTTTTGCTCTTTCCCACTGTCATACATACCACAACAGATTATGACTTTGGCTTTCCATCCCTCCAATTTCACCATTATCCTGGGCTCAAGAAGAATACGGATAATCAATTTCATCCAATCCAAACAAGTAAACAAGTTGTCTAATCCACTCATAGTGGTATTGCCTCTAACAGTAAATACACCAGTCCACTACCTATTCATAAGGTTAAACAAACATTAACAAGTACAAGATCTTGAGAATCTATAGAGAAAGCACAATCAGTTGCTTCCAGCACAAACTGATTTTACATATGCATAATGCATTGAGAAGTTGACTAATAAACATGGACAGGCTACAAAAATTACTTGATCACATAGGACATTTCTTAGGCAAATGAGCAAAAAAAGAACAAGCACACTTACTTTGGAGTTGGGCCGAATGTGCTTTACCACACATTCAGCCCCAAAGAGGAATGCATCACTGTCGGCAGTAATACAAGCATCTACCTGACCTTCTCTATTTAACTGGGCACAAAGTGCTTCAGCCTCTCCTCTTGCTTTCAGAACAGGTATCCCAAGATGTTCAAGAAGTTCCTACCGAAACAGCTTAGGCTTGTTAGATGACATCCCAGATGCATGCTAATGAATGGAAACATGACATGACTATTCCTTGACCACATCGAAAAAGGTAGCTCATAGGTGACCATAAACTAAATCGAAATTTTCTTTTAGACCATTGATTAATTTGAAATTTGTGGAGTCGTTCCAAGTAATAATTGTACAGTGATCAACTCAGATGTTTACTTCACAATGCAGGTCTGTTTCACAGTTAATGGAAGCGTACAGCAAAAAGCCAAACATGGACCACATTCATAGAAAATAAACTCACCACACATTCTTGTACGCATTTTAAAAATGCCCGGTTCCTCTCAACAGAAACGCCCTCCTCTGCCACAGGCAAACTCTCTACTTCAACACCTGATGCTCGGAAGAAGCNGAAATTTGTGGAGTCGTTCCAAGTAATAATTGTACAGTGATCAACTCAGATGTTTACTTCACAATGCAGGTCTGTTTCACAGTTAATGGAAGCGTACAGCACAAAGCCAAACATGGACCACATTCATAGAAAATAAACTCACCACACATTCTTGTACGCATTTTAAAAATGCCCGGTTCCTCTCGACAGAAACGCCCTCCTCTGCCACAGGCAAACTCTCTACTTCAACACCTGATGCTCGGAAGAACCGCGCAATCCTGGCCTGAGACTTCAATGGCGATGGAGTCCCATCAACCACAAAAACCGGAAACACCCCAAACTGTAAAATTAGTACCGCAAAACACATTATTTTTAGTCCAACAAGGCAAAAATTCACAAAACTCCGCACCCATTTGGTTCCCAAGAAAACAGAATAAGCTAAAAGACCAAACCCACCTCAAATTGCTCTCGCACGATAACTTTTGCTTCAGAATTATGCCAAAACACCTTTAAAACTCCAAATTATACTGCTTTTCTTGGAAACCCAAGAAGGAAACAAACCCACCACGCTAAATTGGGCTCTCACAGCTATTTTGCTTAAGCAAACCCACCTCAAATGGACCGCAACGCTCAAACAACATTTTTTTTTTCGTTTATAATTCTAAGAACCTTAAACATCAAATGCCAGATTGACCTTCCTTTTCTTCCTTGGTAACCAAACAGGTAATAAAGAAGGAAAGTCGATAGAGACAGATTTCATACCTTGGAGACGAGATTGGTGGCACGAAAGAATGTGAGTCTGATGTGGGGATTTCGAGTGTAGGATTTGATAGCAGTTTCGTGTTGAACGATCCAATACGAAAGATCCACAGCGACCCGTTTGTTTCTCAGGAAATCGAAGCCTTCTGTTCGAGCGTAGGGTTTGAGTAAATCCCAGAAGTGCCCTCCAACACCCATATTTTTCTTGCTAAAATTTGGAAAGACGAAGAGGGCATTTCGAGGATTCAATGGTGATGGGTTTGATCACTGTTTAGCTCTCATCTCTGCAAAGAGAAAGAAGATGAAGCAGCAGAAGTACAGTGATTTGCGCGAGTGTCGAGTACTTTTTGAATGCTCAGTATTTGAGGACTGTGGTATGGGCCCAAATGGGCCACAGGCCCAATCTATTGGGCCATAAATTATTTGATAATTTTATCGAAACGTATCGTATTATACTATATTCAAATTATTTTGAATCGACATATTTGGGTCGTGCTATGGTAGAATTTGTGTTAGGCTCATGTAGATCAAAGTGTTTCTCTTTTTATTAGCTGGGTATTTGGCCATGTGTCCGATTGTAATATTAAATGTATTTTATTGTATTTTGATCGATGATAATTTATTATATCTTCAAATTATGTCACAATAACATTATTCTCTTAAAAATAAACACAACATAAAAACGAGTAAAATAAGGTAAATAAGGGCCTTCATTCTATGAATTTATTTATTAATATTTGGTGTCCAAGCTTCGAGGAAGAATCACTCACAATTATTTTAATGGTTACATGGATCTCACCCCCTCCATCCATCCTTTTGATGGCATAGCTTTCTTATTTATCTTTCAACTTGACTCTTCTTCGTTCAAGTGACCTCTTTTCTAATCTTTTAGGGATTATTTGGTATATTTTTTATGAAGAGTTTAGATTGATTTGTTCAAATTTTTTCTAACCCAAAGATGAAATTCAATATTTAATATTGTTTATACTCATGTTTAGTATATGCATGAATATATGACTATTATGATAATATATATTGTATATAAATGACTATTATACTCTTTGACCAATTTAATCTAAACCTATGTTTGTTTACGTACATAGAATATATGGATTACATAAACGTCAATTTAGATGTTAAACTTATTAACCCACATATGACACTACCCATGGGTTTCATGTTCAGGCTTAAATCAGACTGGGTTTTAAATTTTAGGCTAAATATGTATTTATCGAACATAAGTTTGAGGGAGTTTATTTCTCGCTCCATGTTTCAAAACCCACGTACCAACACAAACCCTTAGTTGTTGCTCACTTTCGCAATAGTCCAAATCTTGTGCTCATGTTTTCTCGGTCTTCGATTTTCAGTCTTAAGTAAATGATTTTTTTAACTTTTTCGAGTTTAAATACGTGCATTATTAATTTTTTTTTGACTTTCTCATTCAATTCAAAGTCATTTATATAATACTATATCTAGAAATAAAAAACCACATAATATATTTTTCCTTAAAATGCTAATTAAATGAATTATTTATGTCTAATATTAATTCAAATAATTTATTATTTCTAATATATTTTTCAAATTCTTGTTGGAGGTTGTGACATCCTCGTTTTAATGGATAAAATTGAAACTCTTTTAAGAGCTTTTGTCGGAAGTTATGATGAGTCCATTATGAGTAGAGGTGTAACTCGGACGTGTTGGACAATCAATTCTAGTCTAATCCTATGTATATAATCTTCAACCCTAACCCGAGGTAGAATTAAGAAACTCAACCCGAGCACTGTCCGAGTTTAATTCGGACGGGCTCAGTTTGAATTCGGATTGATGATTTTGGACTGATTTCAGATTACTTTACTGGTTTAATTTGGGTAGAGCCCAAAATAGGCTTTTTGTTCTAAACCTAATACATATATTACATAATATTCACCTAAATTAACAATCAATAACTTCAACCAAATTTTTAACGAGAGAGACAGAGAACGATAAAACAAAAATGAAAAACCAGTGCTAATGCTTTATATATATAATTTTTTTTTTAATTTGTCGGATTCGGGTTGAACTCGGGTTCACGAAGCTTTGACCCGAGCTCAACCCAAATTGAATTCGGGTTTGAGTTTTTTTACCCAAATTCAATCCAAATATTAAAAACCCTTGTCCAAGTCTTAATTTTTTCGGGTTGAAATTGGGTTATCCAACCCACATTGCACCCCTAAATATGAGGCCCTTCTCGCAAAACAACTTGGGCCAAGCACGGTAAACGGGCCTTGCCCACAAGAAGTCAGCAAAATACGAGCACCTTGAATATTCATGTGGGATTTGGATCGGAGTTTTCTAATCGCATTCGGATCTAAAATTGGAGCAGTCAAAACTTGACTTGAATTGAATCAGATTCGTTAGAGTGAGATTTTCTCTTATATGTTTTCTCCTCTATTTTCCTCTCTGATAAATCATCAATCATGAATTCAAGTGAGACTCGTTATATATAAGTGAGTCATTTATAAAGACACAGTGAGTAGAAAAACTAAAAAAAAAAACTTTTGGACGAGTTTAGACCCCGAATAGTTAAGAGAATTTTTTTTTCTTTTTTTAACGGTCAGAAGTGTTTGGACAAACTTATGCGCATTTAGACTAATATCTTCTCTAATCTTGTCAAAGGGAGATCATCCACACCGAAACTAAAATATTCTTTAGAAAAATGGTATTTGTACCTAATTTACGAACTTAATTTCGGAACCTAATTTAACGTAACAATTGAATTAAAAATGGGTTTCATCTAAATTTAGAACCCGCAATTAATCTAATAATTGAATTAAATCAGATCTCTAATTAAATTTCTAAATTAAATCTTAATAGCATTACTTGGAAGTTTTAATAAGACAGTAAAATGGACTATAATTTGCTCTTACCATAACTAGATTTTAAAATTCAGATCCAGCTCAAATCCGCATATTCGAATCAATTTCACAATCTTTTTTCTTAATCATAGTAGATTTCCTATATTTTTGTTACTAAAAAAATAAAAGGGTTTGATCAATAATATCAATTAAAGACTTTCTTTCAATTAACAACAAATTTTAATATTAAAAAAGGCACATCAACAATCCAACAATTGAAGTAAATCAGATCAACAAATTAGATTTGAATATCGTTATTCTCAACTAATATTTTCTTTGGTTTGGTAAAAGACAAATTACCCATATAGGGATCAGAGTATTCATGAGATAACTCAAATTCGACTCTATATGCTACAAACATGCAGTGTGCAAAACCACTAGTGGATGAGGGGACACGGGCCCACCCTAAATTTTTTTTAAAAAATTTATTATCTATATATTTCTAGCTTTTTTTTATATATTTCATGGTGTCCATTGTATATATTTTATGTTTAATCTATCAATTTTTTGTTCTATCAAGTAGTATAGACAGATACTTAATTAACTATAAATTTTTTGATACACTTTACAAACACATCTAGACAAATTTTTGTTATGTTGAATTTAATTTTTTAAGTTATAAAAATTGTGAGGATTAAAATACATAATGAAAAGAGTGGGTTGATTATTCGTATAGAGAAACATATTCTCCACCGTATGGATAATGAAATTATCACACAACGTCTTTAAAGGATGAAAACACATCGAAATCAATTGGAAATAAGTATAATTAGCCTCTTTTCATTATTTTTTTTAGTACATTCTATGCTTGTTGAATTATTTTATATCTAATAAATGTTTGAGTATCAAATATAATATAATAAATTAAAATGTATAATGTTACTTTTATCAAGCAAAAAAAAAAATTTAATTTATAATTATAGTGCCCACTCTAAACAAGAATTTTGTCTCCGCCACTGCAAACACGATAACGTATATTTTTATATAAATAAAAAATGATGTGAACATGAATATATGTAATTATAAATAAATTATGTATTAATTATCATATATTTTTACACGATACTAATTAAACACGACATAAATTAAATACGTCGCAATCCATTACCAAACGGTCCATACCTCTAGAGGGACTAGGAAGGTTAAGGCATTAAAGAGAAATAGAAGGGGCACTTAGATATATTCCCATAATTCCTATCCAATGCTATGTGCATTGATAATAACTTTAGTTATGGTCCAAGGGGAGTAGGAGAAGTAAATGCAAAGCTATTCTTTTAGAAAGTCCAGCCAAACAACAATGCATGCAAAGCCATTGAATTTTTTTTTTTTTTTTTTTTTTTTTATGTCTCACCAAATCCTAGGATGGTAGTGGGACCCATACTGGACCCAAAACTAATATCTTTTTGGTAACTGGTAAAGCTATTTTTTGTGGACCTATTTATGTATTTATTTATTATTTCTTAAAATTTTCTACAATTTTACAACTTACCTTTTGTTTTAAATGACTATGACTTTTTTGGTTTTTGGGTTTTTTTTATTAACATAAGCTATATAGTAGCTGTATAAGTTGGATGAGTAATGGCCGCCATAGCTTGGACCATTGGGTGACGAGTTCAAACTTCATAATTCCTTTTTTTTTTAAAAAAATTAAAATAATGATAAAAAAAAATACTATATATACTCAACTTAATTCACATATATATTTAACTCATGTTTAATTTGAATTCGAAATAATCCTAATTCTATTACCTTGGTTCTGTTTTTGTACACGTTTTCAATCTCAAGTTAAAACTTACATTGCATAATCGAAAATCCTCATGAATGGTTGAGTAGTTAAATTTGTCATTTGATAATTTAAATGTCTCAAATTTGATATTTCTCATATACTCTGTAAGGGTCAGTCACTTTTATTACTTAGATGACATATTATAAACTTGTTTAGGTTACGATGATCAGTATCTAAACTCAAGCAAATAGTTGATGTAAGATCGAAATTTCTTTTTAAAATGCAATAAAAAAATTATTACCAGCCATTTGACTATTATGAGTAATACTCATAGTAGTTAGTTGTATCTTGGAATATTCCTTCTTCACCTACCACATATGAGAAGGGTAGTTCATATGGTGGCTTCAAAGTTTGCCTAATTTAATACAAATGGTCCACATGAAAATAAAAAAAAAAAATCCCACACAACCACGTCACATACACCAATAGCTTACCCAAAAAGGTAATATGTAATTTATACTTTTAAAGTATGTACTTAATTTTTATTTGGTCCTTGAAGTTTTAATTATAGCAATCAAGTCCTTAATATTTTAATTGAATTTCAATTTAATCCTTACATTAAAATTTAATTATGACAGAATGATATTTCGTGACAAACACACAACTTTAAAAAAAAGTTATATTTGTCTTATAAAGTTCTCCCCTAAGGTGAGATAAGGGAATATAGTGTGCCACTATTGGTGGGAGTATCAAAGCCCCAAGCTACGTAGTAAGGCATATGCTCGAAAAAGGTGAAATCACGAAAATTTTGTTACATGTAGGCTAAAATTTTTTATTTTATTTTGAGAATAATAATAATAAATTCAAAAATAAAAGATATAGAGTGAAAATTTGAAAGATATTGTGAGTCGGAGAAAAATACAATTATATTTGAGATAAATATTTTTTTGCTGGACAAATATACTTTTATGGGCAAGTCATGTGACGTGTTTATGTCAGAACAAATTAATATGTCTGATTGAAATGATTGGATTGAAACTCACTTAAAATTTTAAGGATGTAATTATATCAATTGAAACTTCAAAGATCAAATATAAATTACGTAGATACTTTAAAGGTATATACTGTAAATTACCTCACAGAAAACAAAAATAAACATAAAATAAATGAGTAACATGATTCTCATGATTTTAATTGTGGTAGCAAGTAACATCAAAGGTTGAGTGCAAGAATATTTTATATTAGACATACTAGCATAATTTAAACCCGACACAATATGAATAAATTTGAACCGGAGATTTTGACATGATTTATTAGTTAGTATTTGAGTAAATACATTTAGAGGGTAGGTTTTACGGTAAGATTGTTTTATTGTGACTTAGAGGTCATTGGTTTAAATCGCAAAAATAGTTTCTGTACTTACAGGGGTAAGATTGTGTACATTTAATTCTTTTCAGATTCCGCAATGACAAGAGTTGGTATGAAAAAGTTTATGGCGAAAACATGAGTGTGACCTTACGATTCATATAACCAATGTTTTTTTGTCTAATTCGATGCAGCTTATTTATTAAAGGCATTTCACAGAGGGTCACATGTGATAAATGATAGGTACTTTAGTGATCATATTTGAATTAAGAATTAATTATAATTTGTCATCTTCAACTATGCCTATTGTCGCAATCGGCATAGTTTTAATGGCTCCAATTTTTGTTTTCTATAAGTTTCAAGCAGATTAAATTGATTTACAGCAGTGGTTAGAACATGAAAGTACTATTACACCCTCTATCTTGTATATGATTTTTTTTTTTTTTTGACACCAATGATATCCCTAAAAAATAAGGAAACTGAAAAACCTAAGAAAAAAAATATTTGTTTAACCCAATACCAGCATACTGCACAACACTGTGTTCATTTTCACCTCCACCTATGCTCCACCTCCACCCAACACCAACACAATCGCATCGCGGGCACGCACACACATATACACACTCATTATTTTCAAGTATAATTATGTATTTTTAACTCGAGTGCGCGCACAAACACACTCTTTCCAGGGATAATTATTTATTTTCAATAAAGTAGAGATAGTATGAATTTCTCAAGTCTAACTTAGTCAATTTTTATAGTTTAAAATTAGCTTTTGGTGTTAACCGCAAAAATATTCAAATTTAATGACATTTATTAAAATTAAAACTTGAAGGGGATGAATGACAAACTACCTAAAGTTGAAGGGAATATTTTTTAGTTAACACTTGAATTAATTCAATCTTAACATGACCGTAAAGACCGCCCCCAATAAGAATTTGACTTGTTTTCTTTTCTTTTTATACGATGATGAGTAACCCCTCTCTTTAAGTATAATCATATCAAATTACTCTAATTTGAGACTTAAATCTCTAAAATAAAGTAAACATTGAATATCTTTAATCATACATGATCCTATGTATCAATTAAACATAAAAATTATTAATGAGAGTCAAATACAAGATATTTAAATTTACGATTTGTTTGAAATTGATACAATTGTCACTCCAAATATAATTTGAAGAGCCATCACATATGATACATTAATACTTGATTTATTATTTACAGAAAATGCACAAAATTTTTAATGGTATTGTCCATGTTCTGTAAGCCAACCATGCTTCTATAGCCAACCCAAATTTTCCAAGTCCAACTTTTAAAAAAAAATCTCATATTTCTTTAATTTCACCCAAAAAAATAGTTAATTATAATTTTTTGGGCAAAAATTATAGTTGGTCTTTATACTTTATCTCTGATTTTAATTTGACTCATGAACTTTTTTAATTGTCGCAATTTAATCTCTTAATTATCAATTTTATCTTAATTAAGTCATTCTGTTCATTTTTACGGTTATATCAAACCTGAAAATAGATAAAATTGGACTAATCTTAGTTTATCTAATGGTAAAAATTAATAGGAATACTTAATTAAGATGAAATTAATAGGTAAAGGATTAAAGTGGGAGAATTGGAAGTTTAAGGATTAAATTAAAATCAAAGACAAAGTTCCGGAAATTTTACCCTAAATTTTTTCAGTAATATAAAGAGCTAATTACATTTAAGGTCCCTAATGTATGATATTTATTTTGTTTTTGTCTCCAATATTTTAATTGTATTATTTTAGTCCCTAAAGTATTAAATATATTTTATATGATCCCTCAAATAGATAGCGTTCATATTATTAACTATTTTTTATTATAAATTTGTCACATAATGCTTAAATATGAATAAAAAAATAATTTTAATAACTCTAAACTAGATTTTTACCCAAATTTAAGTCAAAAAATAGTTCAAATTACACAATTTTCATCACAAGTTAGTCAAATTTTGGTTAATTGTTACTATATTACAAATTTTTTGTCAAGAGCTAATCAAATTATTTTTGTTCATATTTGAGTATCACGTGATAAATTTATGATAAAAAATTATTAGTAATTTGAATATTATTTACTTAAAGAATTATATAAAAATATATTTAATACTTTAGGATGAAAATGATAAATTCATATATTAAGAAAAAAATAGATAAATTCTATGGACGTCCGAGCAATTAACCCTAATACAAAATCCATTCTCTCTCTCTCTCTCTCTCTCTCTCTCTCTCTCCAATTCGTAACCCAAGGGCCACGGGGCAAGGCCAGCAACCGAGCAGACGCCTCTTCTCTCTCTGTTTCTCTTCCCTCCAAAGTCTTTCTCCTCTCTCTCCAAACTATACATGCTTTCTTGATATATGTGTATGTCTATATATGTATGGTTAGCGTAATCTAGCAGATACGGTTTCCTTTAGTTCCTTCTGATTATTTCAATCTAAAGTCAACATGCAAGTATTGGATCAACCAAGTTGATTCAGAATCGAGGTAGCGAGAACTTTGAAGCTTTGGGGGAAGCACACAAATAGATTGAAACAGAGTTTGAGAGGAAAAAAAAAATGAAGAAAGAAGAGCAAGCTCGGTCTCTGTTTGGAATCTCTATTTCTCACAGACCCACATGGCAACAGTTCCTTATTTGTTCTTCTGGGTTCTTCTTTGGTTATCTCGTGAATGGCATCTGTGAGGTATTATTTTCGAAACCCTCTTGTTCCCGGGAAAATTGAAGAAAATGATTTCAAGTATCTGACTCTCTTACATTTTCTGGTGTCTTGTTAGTTGTTTCCCTGGGAAAAAAGCTGGTTCTTTTGATTTTTTTTTCCCTCTCTGGTTACTTTTTCTTTTTGTGGTTTCGGTTTAGATTTGTTTTTTTTTTCTTTTTCTTCCGTATTGGTTTCTTAGCAACCAAACAAAACAAGCCTATAGGTTTAATTCCCATTGAAATAGTTGCTTTAACGGCTGCTTTCATGAGTCTTTGGCAGCTTTTAATGGTCTTATGACATATCAGTTTCTTGATGTTAATGCTTTATATTTATTGCATTTCTTGGTGGATGGTGTCAGATTTTTTGCAAATTATATTCAATAACATGGCCATGTATGTATTATTGTCTTGATCCTGCATGGGACCCATTTTTACATTTTTTCATGTTTTTTCAATGTAATTACTAAATCTTCACTACTGGGATTTTTGTTAGTGATTATACTAAATAATAACAATGTCTACACAAATTAGGCTATTTGGATCCTGAATTGTTTGATTATTTCTTCCAATTTGCTATCCCTTTATAGCATTTTGATCATCTTGGTATAGTCATTTGATTTGGGTAGCATGCTTGAATTTTATGGGTAATTTCTTCTATGTATTGTTTATATCATTTTTAAATTAATAAAGTTTTCATGTTTCCAATCAAAAAAATTTTTTGGGTAATTTCAGTTTTGGGGTAAAGGATCTCAGCAGCTCACATTGCATCTGCTTTTTTTTTTTTTTTCTGATTAGTGAGTGATTTTAATCCTAAATGTTATTTCAGGAATATGTGTACAATAGGCTCCAATTCAGGTTAGTTTGTTTCTGCATTCTGTTTTTTATTTGCAATGTGTAATTTCTTGTTTAATTTTTGGATTTATATATCGATTTGATGAATTTGTATGGATGTTTTTCCTTGTAGTTATGGTTGGTACTTCACATTTGTACAAGGGTGGGTTTATCTTTTTCTGATTTACTTTCAAGGCTTCACCCCCAAGCAAATGGTGAACCCATGGAAGACTTATGTGAAGCTCTCTGCAGTGCTTATGGGTTCACATGGACTTACCAAAGGGTCTTTGGCTTTTCTTAATTACCCAGCGCAGCTCATGTTTAAATCCACCAAGGTGAGTGACATTTCCCATTGCTTATATCTATTGTTCATGACCTACACCAGGTTAAAATAATTCATATATTTGTTTGTTCTGTTTGTTGGTTTGTCTCGCGGCTTCCTCTTCCTAAGAGTTGCCTATATTTAAATTTTGCTTCTAAAACCAAAGGTTAAATAATGTCTGCAAATTTTCATCTGGGCCACTACACGAACATTACTTAAATTGGTGGAATCTGTAGACAAATTCTTCTATGTTTCTTGCTTGTGCCTCTGAAGCAGCTAGTTTTGAGCTAAAAAGTTAATTAGTCTATGAAATTTACGTGATATACCTCGATTCAGTTGATATTTTTGTGTGTTAATGTTTAGGATTCAGTGATATGCATGCATTGAATTTTACTTTTCGATTAGTAAGGTGACTTCCCAGATTTTTAAACTCTGTAACTCCAATGTTTCAGGTTCTGCCAGTGATGATAATGGGGGCCTTTATACCCGGTTTGAGGCGGAAGTACCCACCTCATGAATACTTATCTGCCATACTTTTAGTAGTGGGCTTGATCCTTTTCACTTTAGCGGATGCACAAACTTCACCAAATTTCAGCATAATCGGTGTTTTAATGGTATCTGGTGCGCTAATTATGGATGCGTTTCTTGGTAATTTGCAAGAAGCAATCTTTACCATGAATCCTGAAACCACACAGGTGAGTTGCATGTGACCAGATTTCCAGGTGCTTCCTTCCATGTGAAAAAAGTATCATACAGAAATTATGACAATTAACTTCTGGGTTGTATGTTGTTTAATGTTTTTGTCAGATGGAGATGCTATTTTGCTCTACCGTTGTAGGTTTGCCTTTCTTGATCCCACCGATGCTTTTGACAGGTGAATTATTCAGGGCATGGAGTTCATGTTCTCAGGTAAAGATCGAAACATAGCTTTTTTTTCCAGTTTACACACTCGCCAATTATGTCTCTTAAGTAATTTCCATTGGTAATGCAGCATCTTTATGTGTATGGTGTGTTGATCTTTGAAGCCATGGCCACCTTTATAGGCCAAATCTCTGTGCTTTCCCTCATTGCCTTATTTGGTGCAGCCACCACTGCTATGGTACACTCCAATCACAAGCTTTTCATACTTCCTAAACTTTTCAGGCTCATTGAACACATCACATGCTCATTGAATGAACAAAATCATCGTTTTGAATTGTGTTTTCGAACTTAGTCTTGCCATTGAACTTTGTCATAGGTGACAACAGCGAGGAAGGCCGTTACATTACTGCTATCGTATTTGATATTTACAAAGCCATTAACCGAACAGCATGGGACTGGACTGCTGTTGATATCAATGGGGATTATAATGAAGCTGTTGCCCGAAAACAAGCTGCCCAAGAGGTCAACAACAACCTCATCTTCCATCCCCAAGATTGAAAAACCTTCATATAGTGAAGAAAACAGAATTCAAATAGATATTGAAGAGGAGGAAGAAAATCGACCGTTGGTCTCAAAATAAGCTCTTATGTTTAAATGTCATTTCCTTTTTTTCTTGTCTGATTTTGCTTTTTTTTTTTTTATAAGTATTTGCAAGTAGTACAAGTAGGAAGATGTCTGCAGGTTCTTTATCCTTCCCTCCTCTTCCGGTATTTGAATAAATATAAATAAAAAAGCGGGAGTGATAAAAAAGATGCGGGGACGTATGTATGCTTTACTAGTCAAGTTTGGGCTAATTTATAGATTTTTGGGTCCAGTGTATCGTTAGGGTATGTTTGTTTCGAGTATAAAATTTAGGTGGTATAAGATTTTATATTCATTTCATTAGTATATTATATCCGGTGTTAAATTATAATTCTATCATTCTCCTTGTTTGTTTATCATAAATATTTTTTGTGTAATATCTATTTAAAAAAGTCAACAATTGCGTCTAACTAATATAAAAAACAATTTTAACTTTTAAAAAGTCAAAAATTGCGGTTAGGCTTTTATATGGGAATTGTATCGAATGGTATTTTGGTTTTTTTTAGTTTATAATACCTATACCAAGAATATAATACGATCCCTAGGTGGTATTCATTAAGACCTTTTACAAGGCATTATGACTACTGTGCATAGCGGGTCGGTATTACGACCCGAAAAATAGTACTGATTATAAAATGTCAGACAAACAACGTATAAGATGAGTCTCACGTATTATTTTTCTAATACCACTCTAATACTCAAAACAAACGGCCTCTTAGTGTATGGTTTGGACTTTAGATAACGGGCTTGTTTGAAATTAGTTTAAAACTTTAGTTTTTTTTTTGATTTAAGAGAAAAAGACGTATAGTCCATTTAGACTTAGGTTAATTGGGTGGTTTTTTTATTAGTTTTTTGAGCAAAAATAATTTTTATTAGCATCAAAGAAAAGTTGAAAAAAAAAATTCATCCAAGGGTTTTTTTAGGAAAAGTCGGTTTTCTTCTTGAAAATAATACAAATGGTTGACTTGATAGATCATTAACATTGAACATATAGTGGGTTTTAATGCATCTTAGAACTTATGGTTAAATTGATGACAAATATAATTATCACATTATCAAGTCAAGTTAACTTTTCAAGTATATGGCATTGCTCTTCTCGAAAACAATACAAATTGTTCTAAAAGTTTTTTTAAACTTTTATTTTGTTGTTTTACACTGAAAGAAGTTAGTTTTAAATAGGCCCAATATGATAAGTATTAATTTGAATCGCACCAAAGTCTAACTCAAAATGTGTATTAATTGAAAGTATTTGGGTCAAGTATTGGACAACACTTAGATGGAGGTTTCGAATTGAATTTGACTCCAAATTGAACTTGAGTTGTGTAACACAAGAAATAAATTTAAAACTCAACCCGACTTACTTGAATTTTATTTATTAATTTAATTATTGTGAACATCAGTATTAATCGAGATTCACTAAGTAAGTAATTATATTTTATTCTTTGATTGTGAATAAATTTCACTATTAATTGAGATTTAATGATTACGATTCGTTAAGTCAACAAATAAAACTATTAAATTAAATTAAAATAGTTTATTTTAAATAAAGAATTGGAGGTCGGTCCTAAGCCCGATAGGATTCCCAAAAAAATTCACTCTTCAATTTTTTTTTTAATTTAGGTCTAGTTGAAAAGTCAAAGCAATTGACATAACTAATGCCTTTTATAATTGTAAAAAATAACGACAATGACATCATTTAATTTTAACACATATTCTAAAAAATTACGTCATTATAATGCACATTTTTTTCCATAAACATAAATCGTAAGACATATATACTAAAAAAAATAAGTACATAATTATATATATATATACACACTTTCGAGTCAAAAAATAACATGTACGCAATAAAAAAATAACAAGTACACAATAAAAAAAAACTAACAGGTACGCAATAATCGTCAGATACACTTAAACATAAATGGTCAAACAGGTACACTAAAACATATATCGTCATACAGATACACTAAAACACAAATCGTTAATATACCTTCTTCTCCATAAACACATCATTAACGTCCCATTCTTCTCCATAAACACATAGTCAGACATGTATACCAAAACACATGTCTTCAGACAGATACATAATAAAAAAAAATAACATGTACGCAATAATCGTCAGATACACTAAAACACAAATGGTCAAACAGATACACTAAAATACAGATTGTCATACAGATATACTAAAACACAAATCGTTAATGTATTTTTTTCTCCATAAACATATATTGTTAATGTCTCATTCTTCTCTGTAAACACATAGTTAAACATGTACACCAAAACACACATATCGTCAGACAGATACACTATAACACAAATCGTTAATGTACCTTATTCTCGATAAATACAGATCGTCAGACAGGTACACTAAAATACTAGGAGTGCAACTCGGGCGGGTTGGACAATCAACTCTAGCCCAACCCTAAGTATATAATCTTCAACCCTAACCCAATCTCGGGTTGGAGAACTCAACCCTAGCACTGCGCGAGTTAAATTCGGGCGAGCTCGGGTTGAATTCGAGTTGATGATTTCGGGCTGATTTCTGGTTACTTTAAGGGTTCAATTCGGGTAGAGTTCAAACTAGGCTTGTTGTTCTAAACCTAATACATATATTACATAATATTTACTTAAATTAACAACCAATAACTTTAACCAAATTTTTAACGAGAGAGGCTAAGAGAATGAGAGAGGCAAAGAGAACGAGAGAGACAAAGAACGATAGAACAAAAATGAAAAATCAGTGCTAATGAAAATTATATATAAATATAATTTTATTTTTAATTTATCGGGTTCAGGTTGAATTCGGGTTCACGAGACCTTAACCCGAGCCCCAACCCAAATTGAATTTGAGTTAGGATTTTTTGACCCAAGCCCAACTCAAATATTAAAAACTCTTGCCCAATCTTTAATTTTTTTGGGTTGGACTTGAGTTAAAATCGGGTTGCCCAACCCAAGTTGCACCCCTATAAAATATTGATTGTTAAATATCATCATAATGTCTAAATTGCTTGATTCACAAGTTTAAGTTTCATAACTGATAGACAACACCACAAATACCTAAATAATGAACGCAAAAAAAAAAAAAAAACACTAACAATATTTTAGGTTGAAATCATGTAATGAGAATAAAATAGATAATGAAAACTAGTAATTAATCAATTTCTTAATATTTGCGTCAACACAATGACCACATGCAAATTTTTTAAAAAATCGATTTTTTATTTTTTATACTAAAAATTTGACAAGATTAAAATTAATTTACATACTAAAGGACTGTAGCCTAATTTAGTTAAAAAAATAAGTATTATTTGTGTCTAAAGATAAAATGTAACGTAAATTAACCAATTAATTTTAAAAAATATATTTTAATTTACTTAATTATGAATTATTGAGAGTGATATTGATAGGCGTTGAACGAGTATATTGAAATCGTTGAATAAAGGCATTAAAATCTGCTTAATTTTATATCTTAGATGATTAGGGTGGACTGATACAACGATGAACGACATTCCAACACCTGGACTCAACATCTACATGCATGCTGACACCACCAATAAACCCTTTTACCTCCCCTCCGTGGCAAGTAAGAGAGATTAAGGTGACAAAATGGCTGAAAACAACGGTGGTGCCACCACAGTCCCCTTGCTCCGATCAGTTGATGGTGGAGAAACGGAGAAGGGTAGTAGAAGCAGAAATAATGAAAGACCCAGAGAACCATGGAAAGGAGAGTTTGTGAAAAGCATTGTGTATGCTGGTCTTGACGCCATTGTTACTTCTTTCTCTCTCATTTCCTCCATCTCCGCCGGTCACCTTTCTTCCGGTAACTCTTTCTTTACACATTATTCTTTCATTTTGACTATAATTTCTGTGGGATTCGGAACTTTCGTTTAGTATTTGATAGGTTTCAATTCAAGATGATAATCAACGTGCCATCTCTTTTTTCCTTCTTTGCACTTGGCATGAGTTTTTTCGTTCAGAACTTTCAACAAGCAGTTTCTGCTCAGGAATTTAGCATCTGCATGACCCGGATATCTCTATGGACACACACACTCTTGGGTTCTGTTGATTCGGTTGCAAGTCAAATAATTAGACAATCGGATTCAGATACTGGCCAATATATTTTTCCTCAATTTAGATCGTGTATGGTTGAGAGATGTACTTATAAATAATGAATCTGACTTGTATTAATAGTAGATGATTTAGAGGCAAAGTATAGAGGGTCTGGTCTAATCAATATAGCCCAAAGCAATGAAAGGCATACCCCCCAACCCACCCACCATCCAACCACCACCACACCTTCTTAAAAAAAATAAAGAATACCCATAAACCCTAAGCATGATTTAGGATCCGCCCGAAAAACTGCCCAGAGTCCATCAATCAAAGCCCTCAAAAAATAGATTGAAAAACATCATGTCATCAACTCTTAGAGGTAACTGAATTGATAACATAAACGATGTCTAAATTTATTAAATTTAGATGTTTTGAGTTCGAATCTTGACAACCCTTTGGAGTGCGGCCATAAAAGATTTATCTTTCATGAATACCCTAGTCTTGGTGTGGATGAACTGCATTTGACTGCACCAGGGAGGAGATTAGTTGAATTGCACATAAGTTGGTCCGGATATTAATGACCGTTGAACCACAAAAAAAAAACATTAGGTCATTACTAGTCTTTTTATAGATCTCCACATCAAAGGAATTGACAGAAATCATGGAGGTGTAAGGATGTTGGAGCACTAGTTCATATCCTCTGTTAAGTTGAGCCAAGCTTCAATTAGCCTAGTTTAACCTAACATAGTGACATCTTGAAAATCACGCATTCAAGATTCGATCACATCAGCTGTATAGGAAAATAGACCTCAAAATTCATGTGGGTGATGAAGAAGAAACTTGGCTGCATGATTCACCCTTATGCATTGGAGCGCCTACTCCTATCGTCTAGCCTTGCCTTTAGATTAGTAGGCCAGGTGATGGAGGCATATATTTTTTATACTGTTTTGCATTTGATTTCTCAAATGTAATGTTCATTTTATAATATGATGAGTTTCAATTGGTAGATCACATGTTGCAGCAACTGTTGTCATCTTAAGTGTTCATATGTATGTGAATATCTTCTTGGGTTCTTGGGATTTAGATGCTTATTACCATGCTATTGCCTTTGTAGGCGATGTGTTGGTGCTGGGATTTGCAAATCTGGTTGCCGATGGAATATCTATGGGGTTCGGAGATTTTGTGTCAAGCAGCACAGAGAGGGACGTGGCCGCCAAGGAAAGGCTGGTTACTGAGTGGGAGGTCATTAACCATCGAAGGCCTCAGCAGCAAGAGTTAATCCATCGATATCAGGCTCTTGGAATGAATGTCGAAGATGCAACCATGGTATGCTTCATTGTTTTTTTGTGGTCTATAGGCTATAACTTCTAAATCTTGATCATGATTGAAATCACTTGAAACACATATTTACGAAGCAAAGACATACTAAAAGAAAATTGGAAGTAAAAAAATCTATCAATAAGAAATTTTTTGGGTTGACCATAGCAGGGATGGCCGTACTGGTTGGGTGATAGGCCTGATGGCACAGTATGCAGGACCCTTGTATGAAAGTCCATTGAACTTCCTTGCACTATGTGGAATGGACTATTATCGGATTAGACATGCCTATTGCTAAAAGAACGTACATCAAGCCGTAGCGAGAGGACAATGTCCTGTCAGATACCACGGTCAAGCCGGCCCTAACTAGAGCTTAATATTCCTAGTAGGAGTGACCACATGTCCAATCACGATTTTCAATCTCTGTTTTTGATTGAACCATTTAGAGGAAATTGGAAACTTTAGGCACTAAAAGTTAATATTGGAGAATAAGAACCAACTGCCATGATGAATTATGGAGTTGGAAAACAAAGGGAAAAACAGAAAATGATTACACATTATAAGATGTGATGCTGTGCTTGCAATTTTGTCTAATGTCCTACTCTTACAAGCAAGGGCCAACTATTTGGTGCTAGGTGGTGAGCATTTTTGAAAAGTACAAGGACATACTGGTGGATGAAAAGATGGCAATTGAAAAAGGATTGCAACCACAAGACCAAACAGAGAAGCCATGGAAGAATGGCCTCGTTACGTTTTCGGCCTTTCTCGTGTTTGGCTCTGCTCCGCTTCTCGGTTTCATCATCCTCATCCCGTTCACCGACAACGACACACACAAGTTTGTTGGTGCCTGTGTATTATCTGCACTGGCACTTGCATTTCTTGGGATAGTGAAGGCCAAGATTGCAGGTCAGAAGTATGAGCTCTCTGTGGCTATCACCCTCTTCAATGGTGCAATTGCTGGTGCTGCTGCTTATGCCATCGGGTGGACACTTCGCAATGTTGCTGGCTTAGAAGACTGAAATTAACTCGATTGTTCACCCACCGGGCATCGGTGGAGTGCCTACTTATAAATAACCCACAAATGGTGACTGATCTAGTCAGCCCCCCTAATGTTTATTTTCTACTTTGCAAAATCAGAATCAAGAAAGACAATCGATTGATAAAATCATGTGATACCCGCACCAGCGTCATTCATTGTTAACTCCAAGGTGAGTTTGGGGTCGTGGTTTGTGGTGGTTTTGAGAGGTGGTTATCGTGATGGTGGGTGGTGGGTGGTGGGTGTTTGATCCGTTAATGGGAGTCTTTGGGTATGCAGCGGTGTGGTGGCACCGATCAAACCATGGATGTAGGGTGATAGCAGTGCACTAGAGAGAATGATTTCGGGGCTATTGCATGTGGTGGTGCCAAGATTTGCCATGAGTACGTGGTGGCGTCCTTCTGCACATTTGCTCGTGTGTGCCCTTCGCCCTTAATGCTGTGTGGTGGTTGCTTGGGTTTTTGCAGATGTGGCTCGGTGGTAGATTTGGTTTATGGTTGTGCTCTTGGTTATGGGTTATCATGATGCCGATGCCAATGGATCTTTGGTGCAATAGGAGTTCACTTTGGACGAGCTAAACAGATTTAACTCGAACTCGAACTCAGCTCGAAAAAATAAAGCTCGATTTTAAATTTTTATAACTTGGGTTAAAAAACTTCAACCCGAATTAGATTTAAATCATACTCAAGTTGTGCTTTTGAGTTCATGAATCTAACCTTAGTTAACTAAAATCGAGCTCAACCCAAATTTACAATTTTCATAATATCCATTATAAAATACACTGCTCATTATAAAAAATTCTAATTGGTCAACTAAAATATACTACTCATTTTTAACCCCTATCACTCTCACATGTCTGAAATATAAAATTTAAAAATCTCACGTTATGAAATGTTTTTGATTTGTATTATGAAAAATATACCCAAAGTTTTTGATTTTTTGTTAAATTTAAAATTTTAAAATCAGTAAACTATGATTGTTTAAAATATTTTTTTTAAATTAAAATTGATAAAATATTCTCTAAGATCGATTATCACAAGAAAAATTAAGGGATTAGTGATACTATCAATATAAAAAGATATGGTAGCGAAACTTATTAAATATCAAAATTAATAGTAATTTTAATAGAAAAAAAAAACAAAAAGAATATATTTTAAATAAAAATTATGAATATTAAAAATAAAAAACCTCCTTTTTAGTTGCAGCTTTAGGCCAAAAATAGTCTTGCGCCGCCCCGTGGTGGTGGTGCTGGTGGACTGACACGTCAACCTGGAGGGCGGCGCCCATTTAGGTCTCCTCATTCAATGCCAACTGCAAGGCATGCTCTGCTTCCTTCAGGAAAAGACGGGCGAGTTGCTTTTGCCCTCGTCGATATACTATGCTACACCACCTGTTTTTACTCATCATCTGGCGCTGAACAGAGCCATTTGCCTCGGCGCTGCAGCACACAAAAACTGATAAATGGCAATCCCGGATGAACTGAAATCCAGAAGCGAAATCATGAAGAAATGGTCAACAATAGAAGACATGCAAGGTCTTAGCAATCTTTTTTCAATGAGAACTGAAAGCAACCCATTTCATCTAGAATGTTAACTTTAGGTTTTTTTTTATTGATACAATGTTCAATGGATTGCATTGAGCCAGTACACATCCTCATAGTCTACAGCTAAAACATCATACGCCAGCCTAGAGAAAAGAGTATGCTATTTTACGAGACTAGAAACAATTTTAAGAACCTTAAGTTATCATTATACCTTGTGGAGTCTTCTGGAATCTCTGTGAAGTGGGCCTGTTCAAGTAGTTTAGTGTCACTGTCCTCTGGTCCTGAACCCTCCTCAAGATCCATCATCCTTGCATAATAAACAACCATCAAGCCACTCAGCAGATTTTGAGATATTTTAAGTGAATTTAAGATATGATATGAAATTCTGAAACATATATAGAATCCCCTTTAACCTGTTTTTAAGTTTTCAGGCTGTTTATACTGAATATCAAATTGTGACCAGACCAATTTCAACAAGAGAAATAGAAACAAAAAATCTCCAAAAACTAGAATGATGTCGGTTAAATGAAAAGAGAAACGGACAATATTTATAACCCATCTAATTGAGACACTTCTTTTGAATGAAGAAACATGATTTGTCGGCATGGTCTCTAAACCATCTGTAGTACAAGCCTTAACAAATCATGTGCCTCCACCCCTAAAGAGGAAGAAAAAGGGGACAAGAGGTATGTTAGAATCTAACTTAAATAGCAGAAATAGACAAGGGAACCACATGGGAAAAGAGATGATTCTAACAATCATCCAAACAAGTTACCCTCTCTCAATGGGAGCTCCCCACTCTTTCCATAGAGTTTTCTCAATGAGCAGAGTCTCAGGTAGGGTAAAGGAGTCCTGAAGTCGTATACTAAGGAAAGGAGAGGAGATGCTTCTCAACATCACCAGGTAACAATCTTTACATCCTAGAAATCTTCCTTTAACAAAACCATATTCTACCTTCTCAGCCTTACTCCTGTTTTAAACCCCCGAAACCCAGTCAGTCTACAAACCAGCCTAACAGCCACCCAGAAAACCCTATCCCAACAAACCCCGAAGGAAACAGAGCAATGAACCAAACCCAAAAAACTAAACCAGATTAACTCAATCTTGTCCCAGCCCAAGACAACCATCCATACACCCCCTCTCCCCTCCCCCCCCAAAAAAAAAAAAAAAAAAAAA